GTTGTATTGTCTGTTGTCTCAAAGTCACAACAGCTCCCAGTCCTTGTCACTCTGTTGGGACAAAATCCAAACTGACCCACGGCTTCACCCCCTCCTCTTTTCACACAACTCCCAAACCCCTTTCCTTAAAAAAAAGAAGAAAAAAAAACACTGCTTCGCATGAGTTTAGCCAAGCTGTCATGGCATCCCGACTGTCTCGCTCTGGACACATCACGCCACACTCAAATATGGCCCTTCTTTATCCCTCGCTCTGGTCCTTTGTCCCCACAAGTTCCATAGACCAAAATAAGGGACAAGTTTCTTCAGGATCAAAGACACATATATATGCTTTGTTTGGATAGCTGCTTTCAGACAGGGATAAGTATCTGCGTTGTTTGCGCCGGACTTGAATGTTAAGAGTACGTTCAGATGTATTGTGCCTTGTGAATCTATGCGGGAAAAAGTGCAGTATAATGTGTGTGTGTGGGGGTTATTGGACTTCAACAACCTACATATTGATGACCTTGTTTCCCTTTTGTCAGTTCCAAAATGCCATACTTGCTGTAAACATACTGTATAAGCATTTTGAATCTGTTTGAATTTCATTTTTTTCACCAAGCCGTCTGATGGGAACTGCTAGGAGAAGTCTAGATGAAGTAGGAAGTGGGGGTTGGTGCAATACACTGAAAATGCTCAGAATTCTTTGAATAAAACTGAAACTGAGCTATTTAAAGTCAATTTTGCACAAATCATCAAACTCTGGACCCCGGGAAAAATGCGGCCTTTGGGAAATGTTGTTGGCCCTACAGCTTCTTACCTTTCTATCACATAAAGAGAGTGATGGGAGATGGGAGGTGTCGGGTCAGGGAGTGATTGGGCCTGTGTCTTGGAGGAGCATGTGTTGTTTTGAATGGGTGAGAGCGCCTAAAGCCAAATAAGCATCGGCCTCAAAATATTTACAAACCGTGTATGTATGTTGATAACGATGGATGCAATGTGTATATGTTTGAAATTAATAACAATAGTTATGATAATAATACATTTCTTGGATGCTATTCTAGACACTCAAGGCCTTAAATACAAGTATATTTAAAAACAGTTAAAATCAGCCTGAACAAATGAATATAATAAATAAAACAAAACATTCATGAAGCCAAAAAATTAAGCTTTGCAATCCTTTTCAGACCTATGTATTTCAACTAAACTGGACAGCTTTTTAAGGTTTCCCGGTTGACCCTCCACGCAGCCTTCGATCAAGTTCAAACTTGAGTGGTCAAAGTCATTTTGGAACAATATTGCATTGGAAAAAAAATAGAACTTATCTTCACCATCATGGCGCCATTTTTACACCCTGGATCACTATTATCCTCCTGAAACTCGTAAAGGTCACTTATTAGCACATCTCGGCTTTCTTCCTGGCATTGGACTTTAGACCAGCGGGGAGGATTCAGTCAGAAGTGGCCAAAACCAAAGGAAAGTGTGGAGGAAGGAGGAGGGGACATCGAATTGAATAGCTGGTCGTCAAGATGTGTTATTCCTGCTGTCAGACATCCCGGTTTAATACCTCAACTATATCTTTATCTTTTTTGCATATTTTCAGGGGAAACTTGTATCATCGCACTAACATATCATACTTTCTGCAGCAGGTTGGCAGGTCTACACTAAATGAATTATGTATTATGTTAAGTATTCAAAACAAAGTGAAATAAATGATGCTGCCCCCAAGAAAAAGATATTAAGGGAAATAGTGGTGTTTTATGCAAATGCACAAGAAAAATTAAGACAGTGGCAGAATGTATTGCTTTTACAGGATTCAGAAGAAATTTTGCGAAACTTGCATCTTATAAATATGAAATATGCCTCATCACTAAAAAAGCATTTTCTTTCTAACTATTCCAACAACTTTCCCAGTTTTTATTTGAATGTGGTTTGGAGAAAGCTAGAGCAGAACTGTGAGCTGGTAGAGACTGTGGGGTGGTTGGATAGAAAGACGCTCAAGAGTCCAGTGGCCAATATATTTTAAACAGCTTTGCTACCACTCAACTGGGCATCAGCGACGTTATCCTGGGGTTAATCCTTGATCCGCCGGAGCTGGCTGTGTTTCAGAGATGAACATAGAAGATGAGGGTAAGCTCCTGACGCCGTGGACCAAAATAACATCCAATATGACACGAAGCATTCAGCAACATTTACGTATTCATCAACATTTATGCACATTGGTCATCCGCCCTTTAAACATTGCATTTCTTGTGTTTTATCTGTTTGATTCTCTGATCTGAATCGAATTTGACGGTTTTGTAAAGTCCTCCGAGAGAACTACTGTCGTGATTTAAGGCTGTACAAAAATAAAAGGAATTGAAATGAGTTTTTTGTCTGAATATTACAGGTGGAAAGAAGATAAATAACTGCTGTCACATAAAAAGCAAATATGTGTTGCCAAATACTTTTAAATAGAAGCATTCCTGCACAATAGTACAATATCCCATTAAGGCCCCCGCACAAAAACAATTGTCCACTCCTGCTATTTTAAAACCTCAAGTGAATAGTTCATTTTCAAAAACAGATAAAGGGACATTATAATATTGGAAAGAACAACATTTTTCCCTTATCTCAGAAAGTGTCACCTCTTCTTGAGCAAATCCTTTTAAATATATAGCCAATACCAAAACATGAGGAAGATTGTAACTAGAGGAATACCAACTTTTGACAAATTTTCAAAGTGGAGAAATGTACTAATTAACTAAACTACAAGGTCAAGTTGGTCAAGATTGAATAAAAAATGTCCCTCCTGGGCCATTCTGCAGTATGTCTATAGTTGACGGGTGTGTTTGGATAAGCCATCATTAAGACGTGGGTCACCTCTCACACAACCTGCTCCTCAGCTATACCCACATCCGGATCAGCTTTTTACAATACACCACTCGTCAAGCCAATACCCCAGTTACTTACTTAACTTAGTTGTTGAGTAAGTAAGTTATCTTTAATTATAAAGCGCTTTTCACCGACAGAGTCACAAAGCATTCCACGATTTGTCCTCTCACTATACACGGTGATGTAAGCGAGGTCACCATACAGGGGGAGCATGCTTGACCTATTGTACTTTTTTTTTTTTTTTGTGGTGGGAGCACCGGGAGTAAATCTATGCAGCCACGGGAAGAACATGCAAACTCCACACATGCAAACTCTGCATGATCCAAGACATTCATGGACATTGGTTATCTGACCTTTATGGACATACGTGTCCTATGTGTTTTTTTTATTGGATTCCTGTGTTTTACCTGTTTGATTCTCTAATTTTGGGCAAATTGACAACTTTTTAAAGTCTTCAGAGATGACTACTGTTGTGCAATCAAAAAATAAATTGACTTGTCTGACTGAATGTGCAGTCATAAGACAGATTGTAATTAATGTCCCTATCAATTCAATTAATGAGGTAAAAGAAGATTCAGTTATTATTAATGCAATCTTTTTGATATTAACTTCATGAAACGCAAATGGAGATTTATGGTGTGCTCGCCTCTCACTAATCACCATTCTGATTCATGTAAATCCATTAAACTTGAATGTATAATGACAAACAGAGAACTTAATGCTGGGATACCTAACTTTTTTACTACGAACAATTGAGCTATGTCTAGTTTTCACGTGCATGTACTTGACTGTCACATATTTAGATTCAGCTTTTTCAGGCAGAAAAGTGAAAAAGAGAGGACCATCATTCTCAGCCAATCAGTTCTCAGCCCAAAGTCATACAAATATGCAAAAGATAAACATATTTTCTCATAAGATGAAGACAGAATGTTGTGGCTTTGTCTATAAAAAGACCTTCGGTTGTGACAAACAAAATGTATTTCTGAAAAAAACAAAATAAAATCAATGTGGTTATTTAAGTGTAGACGATCAACATGTGAAACACTACAACATTTATAGCCAAGGCTAATTTGCAAAAACTACTAACAATAATAATAGTATTTTTATATATATGTATATTTTTCATCTGCAAATAAAGAAAAAAGCTGAATAAAGTGCTACTAAACAGGTCAAGCGGTGCGTTTTTGCGTGTACGTTAATAGCCTGGATTGTCCTAAACCCAGCAGGTGTTAAGCCCCAAAGCGAAATCCAGGGATAGTCAAGCGGATGATCCCAAAGTGAACAGAGGAAGAGGTGACAGTAAGATGTGGCCTGATGAGTGATCCAATAACATCTGATTCAAAAAATATAAAACAAATATATAGTGGTGATGATTGGGACACTCAACATTTGTCAACATCTATGGACTTTGGTCATCTGTCCCTAAGAATACCACTGTCTCTTCTAACATTGCATTTTTGTGTTTGAACGGTTTGATTCTTTTGTAAAGTCCTTCGAGATAACTCTTCTTGTGATTTAGGGCTATACAAAGAACACATGGAGTTGAATAAAAACCATTATAAACAATGCATTTGCTTATTGATAGTAATTGGATGATGGCTTATCTGCTTACTGCTAATTATGGCTAAAGCGTTTTATTTTAACTCGTGAAGTGACCTATAACTCTAATCTGGACAACTTCCAATTCGAATTGATCTGCAATTTACAAACTCTGGAAAACACTGGATGTTTTGGCTCTATGTTCCCCAGTCCTTTAGAAATGTATGTGTATCAAAAAAATAACTACACAAAAAAGTAAATGTGTGTTGCCAAATTGTTTTGAATAGAACCAGTCAATTATACAACTTATAATAGCATCGTAAACATTGCATTTTGGTTGTAATTGTATGATGGCAACAGCTTATCTGCTTACTGCTGGTTATGACTGAAGCATTTTATTTTAACTTGTGAAATGACCTATAAATCCAAACTGGACGATTTCCCATTTGAATTTATCTCCATTGTGAGGAAAAAAAAAAAAGACGTATTTCTGGTCTCACTCTTCTCCCCAAAGTGAGGTATGACCCAGGGCTTAGCCTAAATTCTCTCGCTATTAAAAGCTGTGAAATACAAATAATGAAACATCTCATTACCATGGCAGAACGCGGCAAATGAAAGAGGAGAGCGAGGAGGAAGAGGAGGAAGAGGAGGAGGAGGAAGGCCGCGCTGAGAGAGTGTGAGATGTGGGAGAAGGATGATTGATGACTAACGTGATATTGATCATTCACGACTGACATCATCAACAAATATGAGGCCAGGGATGTTTTTTTTAAACTAAAACAACACATCGCAATTGTTACTATCGGCCATACCTACATGTGAAAGCCAGATCCTGTCAGACCTGTGAAGCTAAGCAGGGCAGGACCTGGATAGTACTGTGATGGAAGACCTTTGGGAACACCAGGCATCACAGTGGGGCAGCTGCCGTAATTAAGTGCCAAACTGTGGTTGTGTCCTTAGGCAAGACACTACAGCCATATTGCCTAAAGTGAGTCTGTAGTGTGTGTGAATGGTTGGTGGTGGTGGTGGGAGGGGCCGATGGTACATACTGTTTGCCTTGCTTCAGTCAGTGTGCCCCATGTCAGTTATGGCTGCAGTAGTTGGCTATCATGTTATCAACTTTTCAAACCTGTTTTATATGTGTCCTTCTGTGATCTATCTATCATCAATGTGTATGGAGTGAAAGAATAATGACTTGTGACACTTCTTTGAGTGTCCAAAAAACGCACTATGTAAAACCGAGGCATATCCATAATATCTCATTTCAGTGGAAAATGTTGATCCCCTGGTGTCATTTACATCAAAAACATTGCATAAACTTGCCATTTCTAAACACAAATTGTAAATCTCTGTTTGTTTGTTTGTAAAACGCTCAATTAGAATCCTATAGCCACAATAGTGCGACCCTGCTTCAACCCACAGCTCGCAGCAGCACCAGCCTGCTCCGCCTCCCGCGCAGAGACCCCTGGCCCCTTCAAAGAACCCCACACAAAACCTGTCACGACCGGCTCGACTCAACTGTACACCAGAGCTGCCCCTGCCCCCGTGCTGCGGAGACAGGCAACACAACTGACTGCTCGAGAATCAAGTCGGGTGAGCAGCATCTGCCAATCTATGGATTCACGAGAGATGGGTTTTTGACGAAGGATGCCACGATTTCAAAGATTTTAAATTCTGGGGTATAATTTTAGTTGACCAAAGAAAGAAATAGTCGACGGAAGACATGCTGCATTCTAAGAACCTCTTTGTCGATGCAGGATGGTCTATGAAAAGTGATGATCCAGGACATTTAAGGACATTTATGGGCATTTATGTGTCATGAGGCGATGTGAAAGGAGGACTAAAAACTCAAGAATGCAAAAACAAAAATGATCTAATGATGAAAAACAAATGTCCAAGGTTAAAACAAACTCAAAATCTAAACAAAAACTCAGGAACCAGGAAAACGGACGTACAAAGGCGGAGACAATACAATGGACCAGCAACAAGGGGAGAGGAGCACAGGTACATATAGACACAAGAAAGACACGGGTGAAAAACAGCAGGGCGGGGCAGACTATGAAGACAGGAAGTAAAACTAAAACCATAGTACAAAGTCAAATCCACTCCATGACATTATGGACATTGGTCATTCCGCTCTCTATGGACCAATGGCTGCTCTGGGTTGTTATTGCATTTCCGGTGTTCAAACTTTTTGATTCTCTGATCTGTTGTTGAGCAATAGAGAACTTTGTAAAGCCCTCCGAGACGACTGCTTTTGTGATTTACAGACCATGCATTAAAGTGAAGTTAGTTCTATAAAAAGAGAAGCAGAACAGAAACAGCGTTGAGCACAAAAGATGAAATGGAAAAAATTAGTAACTTAGCACAAACGATGATCCTGTTTTTAGCTCTTCCTTCTTCTTCTTCTTCTGGCTGGTAACTTGATGGTTATGACTTGAAATCTCTCTAAATGTTGGTCCAATATAATCCAAGTTGTGTTTTTTTCTGTTCTTTGTGCCCAGTGCACCTTTACACTCATATTGCTCGACTCGGATAAACCACGCGAGCCCCAAGAAGCGGAGGCGGAGAAACCTGAGGGCCGAGAGAGACAGCCAAGAAGCAAAAAGGCAAAGAAGAAACTTGTGCTTTGCCCTGGACCCGAGTTCACCATTTTCCTCACATTGTCGATCACATGTTAAAACAGGTTTAGCATATTTAACATTTATGATATATAACAAGCAGCATATGAATAAATCATACAGTGGATAAACCGGACTGTGGATAAACAGGACTGTGGTTAAACCGGACTGTGGATAAACCGGACTGTGGATAAACCGGACTGTGGATAAACCGGACTGTGAATAAACCGGACTGTGAATAAACCGGACTGTGGATAAACCGTACTGTGGATAAACCGGACTGTGGATAAACCGGACTGTGGATCAACCGCTGTGGATAAACCGGACTGTGGATGTGGATATACCGGACTGTGGATAAACCGTACTGTGGATAAACCGGACTGTGGATAAACCGGACTGTGAATAAACCGGACTGTGGATAAACCGGACTGTGGATAAACCGTACTGTGGATAAACCGGACTGTGGATAAACCGGACTGTGGATAAACCGGACTGTGAATAAACCGGACTGTGGATAAACCGGACTGTGGATAAACCGGACTGTGGATAAACCGGACTGTGGATAAACCGGACTGTGGATAAACCCGACTGTGAATAAACCCGACTGTGAATAAACCCGACTGTGAATAAACCCAACTGTGAAGAGACTGTGGATAAACCGGACTGTGAATAAACCGGACTGTGGATAAACCGGACTGTGAATAAACCGGACTGTGGATAAACCGGACTGTGAATAAACCGGACTGTGGATAAACCGGACTGTGAATGAACCGGACTGTGAATAAACCGGACTGTGAATAAACCGGACTGTGAATAAACCCGACTGTGAATAAACCCAACTGTGAATAAACCCAACTGTGAATAGACTGTGGATAAACCCAACTGTGAATAAACCCGACTGTGAATAAACCCGACTGTGAATAAACCCGACTGTGGATAAACCCGACTGTGAATAAACCCAACTGTGAATAGACTGTGGATAAACCGGACTGTGAATAAACCGGACTGTGGATAAACCGGACTGTGAATAAACCCAACTGTGAATAAACCCAACTGTGAATAAACCCGACTGTGAATAAACCCGACTGTGGATAAACCCGACTGTGAATAAACCCGACTGTGAATAAACCCAACTGTGAATAGACTGTGGATAAACCGGACTGTGAATAAACCGGACTGTGGATAAACCGGACTGTGAATAAACCGGACTGTGGATAAACCGGACTGTGAATAAACCGGACTGTGGATAAACCGGACTGTGAATGAACCGGACTGTGAATAAACCGGACTGTGAATAAACCGGACTGTGAATAAACCCGACTGTGAATAAACCCAACTGTGAATAAACCCGACTGTGAATAGACTGTGGATAAACCGGACTGTGAATGAACCGGACTGTGAATAAACCGGACTGTGAATAAACCGGACTGTGAATAAACCCGACTGTGAATAAACCCAACTGTGAATAAACACGACTGTGAATAGACTGTGGATAAACCGGACTGTGAATAAACCGGAATGTGTTTAAACCGGACTGTGGATAAACCGGACTGCAGCACCTCGGCCCAGGCTTCTATACAACCTGAGCATTCATTATTAATTTAAATCTCTCTCCTTCGATGCAAACACATTAGGGATGCAGCTATTGATTAATTTTTTAATTACAATTCCATTCCATTTTTTGGGGGGGTACAGCCCTAAATCACAACACCAGTCATCTCGGAGGACTTTACAAAGTTGTCGATTGCTCCGCATCAGGTCACAGAATCAAAATGTTCTAACACAAGACATGCCATAAAAACAAACAACCTGGACCAGTCTTCCTGAAAATGTGAGACATGCTTCCTTTCTGATATCAATCAAATCTAGGTTTTTAGCTGTGCATACAACTGAAGGATTTTACCTACTTTACTTTATTTATTATCTATGATTTGAATGCCTTGTGTGACTGTCTCATCTATCTATCTATCTATCTATAAATATCCATATGATCATATAGTAATTGAGGGATCTGTTGAATATTTCTTCTGATTAATCAAGTAATCTATTCAAATGTTGTCCATGATAGATTTACATTGCAGAGCGTGATTCAGAGTTAAAAACAATAATGCCTTTGTGGGTGAAGTCCAATATCAATCGCAGCATGAGTCACGTTCAGTGCAGTGCGGCGCCACATGGAAACCGAGCGCTACAGTTTCACAGGGTTTTAAGAAACAGGGGCGTTATGAAAATCAACCAACTTATCGTTTTAGCCCTAGAGCAAACAGAGGCTGCTGATTCAAAGCCCTCTCTACAGCTGACGATGAGTATGAGAGGCTTAAAGGCGTCCACCCAAGTCCAACAGGCACGTCCTCTCCCAAATATCAAACAGCTCTCAGTCATAATCTCCTGCGCAAACACACACACGAGTACAACAGGCTGCAAACCCACCTTCAGCTATATTTTATTGTCCAAACTAAGGCCAAATACAGGTTGTATGCAAATCCATATATATTTCACGTTTTAAAACATGAAATACCAACGTGAGTTTTTCCTACGATCACATTTAAGAGCCGAGATAATTAATAATAAGTTCTAACATCCAAAACACTTCAGAGACAAAGAAAACTGCCCCACCACACGACAATAATGCAGTCTGAACGTTTGCATATGACCACCGAGACCTCACAAAACACGTGTAGAAAACTAAAATATAGACATAACAGCGATGGCAGCTTTGTCACTCATCAACGTGATCAAAACAAGGCAACAACATAGACTCTTTGTGGAACCAGGTGGAGATAAAGACAAGAGGAATCAAGAGAAGATCATCTAAATATAGAGAGCAGGAGTCAGTGCGGAGACAGTGAAGGCTGCGAGAGAGGAGGGAGGAGGAATTTGGGAACAAAAGAGGTGTTGGTAAAGTCAGAATCAATGGTTTGTATATAAGGCATTAGTGTTCGGCGGCGTTCGAAAGGCGTGCCCAGTGTAGGAGTATCAATATATCGATAGACCAGCACAGACGGGCAGGTTATACACAAAGATGAATTAAAAACAGAATTAAAAATGTGTGGCTATTTGTGAGAATTTGTATTACTTGTATTATTTCAAACATGCACCAGATATACAAGCAAGTATGCACAAAATATAGAATAAAACATTTGATAGAAAAACACCTGTACATGGTTTGAAAAGGGATTGGATGAAGCAAAAAACGTATAATAATCCAATCCCCTGTATTGCTTTTTTTTGTCTCTTAAAGCTGGGGTACTTAAATATTCTTGTTTAATAAATACATCTATAATCTAAAAGTATATCTTGTTCAAACCGGATTTTATTTTAGAAAACTGTTTAAGAATATTGAAGAAGTATGAGGAGGAAAGAGTGATACGAGAGAGGTATAGGGTCGGAGAGCGTTTGGGCCTGTGTCCTATCTTAGTGTGTATGTGTGTGTGTGTTTTTGTGTGTGTTATACCATGATATTGTATTGTATTGTGTGGTTATGGTTCCTATGTATTGCTTTTGTTATCTTGCGTTTGTCTTGATTGATTGATTAGAAAACACATTATATCTCGCATTTGTGTCACTTCTCTCTGTCACGTTTTTGTCTGAAAAAGCTGATCAAAAGAGCCAAAAATGCATCAAACTTGGGATAGAACTAAACCGTTTTGAGAGAAATATATTTTGATTTTGTTACCTGGTTACGTGGTTTGAAAGTTAGACACCCCATCTTTAAAACAACAAATTCTTGCAATATATTGAATTACAAGCTCCTTTGTTTGTATCAGCCTTGTATAGTTTGTCTTGTTGAGGCATTTTTTAAAGGTAATCCGTCCACCCTTTCCAAACACCCTCTTCTTACTTTTGTCGTTTGGAGTGACGGTTTAAGTTGAGAATGTAAATTAGAGCGACTGGAGGCAAAACTGTTCATGCAAAGTAACCAGACCCCTGTCCCCCCCTGTGCCCCCTGTCC